ATCCTGTCCGAGGCACGACCCGAACTAAGAACACGCACCCCAGGCACTTAAAGGCTACGGGTCATCCTGTCCGAGGCACGACCCGAACTAAGAACACGTACCCCAGGCACTTAAAGGCTACGGGTCATCCTGTCCGAGGCACGACCCGAACTAAGAACACGCACCCCAGGCACTTAAAGGCTACGGGTCATCCTGTCCGAGGCACGACCCGAACTAAGAACACGTACCCCAGGCACTTAAAGGCTACGGGTCATCCTGTCCGAGGCACGACCCGAACTAAGAACACGCACCCCAGGCACTTAAAGGCTACGGGTCATCCTGTCCGAGGCACGACCCGAACTAAGAACACGCACCCCAGGCACTTAAAGGCTACGGGTCATCCTGTCCGAGGCACGACCCGAACTAAGAACACGCACCCCAGGCACTTAAAGGCTACGGGTCATCCTGTCCGAGGCACGACCCGAACTAAGAACACGTACCCCAGGCACTTAAAGGCTACGGGTCATCCTGTCCGAGGCACGACCCGAACTAAGAACACGCACCCCAGGCACTTAAAGGCTACGGGTCATCCTGTCCGAGGCACGACCCGAACTAAGAACACGCACCTTAGGCACTTAAAGGCTACGGGTCATCCTGTCCGAGGCACGACCCGAACTAAGAACGCGCACCCCAGGCACTTAAAGGCTACGGGTCATCCTGTCCGAGGCACGACCCGAACTAAGAACACGCACCCCAGGCACTTAAAGGCTACGGGTCATCCTGTCCGAGGCACGACCCGAACTAAGAACACGCACCCCAGGCACTTAAAGGCTACGGGTCATCCTGTCCGAGGCACGACCCGAACTAAGAACACGCACCCCAGGCACTTAAAGGCTACGGGTCATCCTGTCCGAGGCACGACCCGAACTAAGAACACGTACCCCAGGCACTTAAAGGCTACGGGTCATCCTGTCCGAGGCACGACCCGAACTAAGAACACGCACCCCAGGCACTTAAAGGCTACGGGTCATCCTGTCCGAGGCACGACCCGAACTAAGAACACGCACCTTAGGCACTTAAAGGCTACGGGTCATCCTGTCCGAGGCACGACCCGAACTAAGAACACGCACCCCAGGCACTTAAAGGCTACGGGTCATCCTGTCCGAGGCACGACCCGAACTAAGAACACGCACCCCAGGCACTTAAAGGCTACGGGTCATCCTGTCCGAGGCACGACCCGAACTAAGAACACGCACCCCAGGCACTTAAAGGCTACGGGTCATCCTGTCCGAGGCACGACCCGAACTAAGAACACGCACCCCAGGCACTTAAAGGCTACGGGTCATCCTGTCCGAGGCACGACCCGAACTAAGAACACGCACCCCAGGCACTTAAAGGCTACGGGTCATCCTGTCCGAGGCACGACCCGAACTAAGAACACGCACCCCAGGCACTTAAAGGCTACGGGTCATCCTGTCCGAGGCACGACCCGAACTAAGAACACGCACCCCAGGCACTTAAAGGCTACGGGTCATCCTGTCCGAGGCACGACCCGAACTAAGAACACGCACCCCAGGCACTTAAAGGCTACGGGTCATCCTGTCCGAGGCACGACCCGAACTAAGAACACGCACCCCAGGCACTTAAAGGCTACGGGTCATCCTGTCCGAGGCACGACCCGAACTAAGAACACGTACCCCAGGCACTTAAAGGCTACGGGTCATCCTGTCCGAGGCACGACCCGAACTAAGAACACGCACCCCAGGCACTTAAAGGCTACGGGTCATCCTGTCCGAGGCACGACCCGAACTAAGAACACGCACCCCAGGCACTTAAAGGCTACGGGTCATCCTGTCCGAGGCACGACCCGAACTAAGAACACGTACCCCAGGCACTTAAAGGCTACGGGTCATCCTGTCCGAGGCACGACCCGAACTAAGAACACGTACCCCAGGCACTTAAAGGCTACGGGTCATCCTGTCCGAGGCACGACCCGAACTAAGAACACGCACCCCAGGCACTTAAAGGCTACGGGTCATCCTGTCCGAGGCACGACCCGAACTAAGAACACGCACCCCAGGCACTTAAAGGCTACGGGTCATCCTGTCCGAGGCACGACCCGAACTAAGAACACGCACCCCAGGCACTTAAAGGCTACGGGTCATCCTGTCCGAGGCACGACCCGAACTAAGAACACGTACCCCAGGCACTTAAAGGCTACGGGTCATCCTGTCCGAGGCACGACCCGAACTAAGAACACGTACCCCAGGCACTTAAAGGCTACGGGTCATCCTGTCCGAGGCACGACCCGAACTAAGAACACGCACCCCAGGCACTTAAAGGCTACGGGTCATCCTGTCCGAGGCACGACCCGAACTAAGAACACGCACCCCAGGCACTTAAAGGCTACGGGTCATCCTGTCCGAGGCACGACCCGAACTAAGAACACGCACCCCAGGCACTTAAAGGCTACGGGTCATCCTGTCCGAGGCACGACCCGAACTAAGAACACGCACCCCAGGCACTTAAAGGCTACGGGTCATCCTGTCCGAGGCACGACCCGAACTAAGAACACGCACCCCAGGCACTTAAAGGCTACGGGTCATCCTGTCCGAGGCACGACCCGAACTAAGAACACGCACCCCAGGCACTTAAAGGCTACGGGTCATCCTGTCCGAGGCACGACCCGAACTAAGAACACGCACCCCAGGCACTTAAAGGCTACGGGTCATCCTGTCCGAGGCACGACCCGAACTAAGAACACGCACCCCAGGCACTTAAAGGCTACGGGTCATCCTGTCCGAGGCACGACCCGAACTAAGAACACGTACCCCAGGCACTTAAAGGCTACGGGTCATCCTGTCCGAGGCACGACCCGAACTAAGAACACGTACCCCAGGCACTTAAAGGCTACGGGTCATCCTGTCCGAGGCACGACCCGAACTAAGAACACGCACCCCAGGCACTTAAAGGCTACGGGTCATCCTGTCCGAGGCACGACCCGAACTAAGAACACGCACCCCAGGCACTTAAAGGCTACGGGTCATCCTGTCCGAGGCACGACCCGAACTAAGAACACGCACCCCAGGCACTTAAAGGCTACGGGTCATCCTGTCCGAGGCACGACCCGAACTAAGAACACGCACCCCAGGCACTTAAAGGCTACGGGTCATCCTGTCCGAGGCACGACCCGAACTAAGAACACGCACCCCAGGCACTTAAAGGCTACGGGTCATCCTGTCCGAGGCACGACCCGAACTAAGAACACGCACCCCAGGCACTTAAAGGCTACGGGTCATCCTGTCCGAGGCACGACCCGAACTAAGAACACGCACCCCAGGCACTTAAAGGCTACGGGTCATCCTGTCCGAGGCACGACCCGAACTAAGAACACGCACCCCAGGCACTTAAAGGCTACGGGTCATCCTGTCCGAGGCACGACCCGAACTAAGAACACGTACCCCAGGCACTTAAAGGCTACGGGTCATCCTGTCCGAGGCACGACCCGAACTAAGAACACCACCCACTCCTCTAACGCTACCCCATTCAAACGCGTTTGGCAGAATAACCAAACATGCAGGCAATCTTTTTGTGCTTACCATGGTGGAAACGATTCGCTTAGCATATGCATTTTTTTATTATTCGCAGGATGAAACTGGTAAACGTAAAAGCCCGAGATAAAAATTTGCGGCAGTGCTTTGGTCAAACAATGCATTTCTGGGTCGGTAAATCTCGGTGCATTCCTTTGAGTATCACCCGAAGCCTTTGGTTGTCGGTATACGGTTGAATGATCGCCTACGCCAGCCAATGCCGCACAAAAAACTATATACAAATATACCCTCCATTTTTTTTTTTTTCTAATGAAGTACGCATTGCCGGACACTCATTTTCCGCTAAAATGTAGCGCTGGCGTTCCGAACCAGACGACAGAATTTCAGAACTAACCGTTATCTTATGCGGAGCGCTACTTCATCTGCTTCTTGCACAAGGGTTGCGATGATGTCAGCTGAACGCCGCGTTCTTATTGGCTGATTAATACAAAATAGTGGGTAGTCCTCCTCGAGGCATCTAGCATTGCGGTCTACCCACTATCGTTTCAACGAAAGCCAATCAGAGCACGCCCCCCCCCCCCTTGGATCCGCCACTGGATGGGCGGAGAAGTTATACCACGCGTCTGCCAGCCGACGCATTCCCGGCACGAGCTGGAGACGGCGAAGAGCATCCCCGAAAATATCGCAACGCCCGTCTGACGTCATCGGATGGAAGGATGCTGCCTGGCGCGGATGAAGCTACGTGACGGACATCACACCGGTGGGTCGACGTGATCGAGACCCCGACGTAGAACAAGAAACTCGGAGAGCTTTCCCTTTTGTTGACCGGGTATAGTACAGTTCACATTTGAGTGAAGTACGCCACGAAAGGGCGCCGAGAGCTAGCGCGGAGGTGTTTATTCTAAGTGAATTGAGAGCGCGGTCACGTTCGAGAAGTCGATCCAGGCATGTTTACTAAATCAGCGTGCCAATCCGACAAGTGCTAAAAAAAAAAAAAAAAAAAAAAAAAAAAAAAATAAGCGCACCAACAACTTAACAAATACAAAAAAAAAAAGAAAAAAAAAAGAACAGAAGTTGGGGTAGGGAATTTTAAAACAACAAGCAAACGATCAAGAAGAGAATATGGGACTAGGGTTGAGGATAAATCGAACGAAACGTTTCCAACATCCATATCCGCTTTAATCCAAAAATATCCAATCGACCGAATGAAAGAAATAAGAAAAAGAAACGCAGATACATGAAAAACAAAGTACTGGAAGCTTTGTGTGCATATATTACTCGCACGTTTTTTTTTTTTTTTCCCCCTTAGTTTGCACGAAGCCTCAGCGCGCGCATTCTCCTTCAGTTGATCGCGCCAAGGTCGCGGCGCCTACTGTCACAGCCGCAAAATGTCACATCCGTGGCTGGCGCCATTAGCCACGGCGGGTTTCCTTGGAAACCAGCATCACGTGGGGCCGTCGTCATGGCGACGCCAGAAGCCCTTCAGAGCGCTTCAGAGCGCGTGAGCGTGCCGCTCCTAGCGGTGTCTGACGCAACCCTGCCGACACAGTTCGAGAGAGCAGCGGACCCGCATCTGGCCCGGCAGGCAGTACCGTTCCAGTCGTCTTTTTGAGAGGTTCTCTACCCGAGCGAGAAGCCCAAGCCGCCACCATGTCCAAGCCCAACATTTACCTGACCAGGCCCGATATCCCCAAGGAAGCATTGGACAAGCTCAGGCATTTGTAAGCCGACCAGCGTCGAGCCGGCTGGTTAAACGCAGGCCTGCTCTTTTTGACAGATCGCGTTTGGTGCGGTCGCATGGCGCAATCCAACGTAACGTTAGGTCACGTGCGGTTCCCCCCCCAAAAAAAGAAAAAAAAAGATTTATTTATTTTTGTGATCTGGTTTTAGTTAAAATTCGTGCGGAGCTGGTAGATCTGCCGAGCAGCGTTTCGGCGATTGAGATCTTTCAGCTTCACTGCACTGTGTCACCTGTGAGGCTCCCTCTACTTTTATTTCAAATCTCGTCCCGCCAAAGTTTACACAGGGACGGCGGAAGCGAGGAGTGATATCGCGTTCGCCTTTCTATTGCTATCTCTTATTTTACCGATCGAAGTCGGGAGTGTTGGAAGGAGATAAGAGTACGATCGCGCGTCCTTCTCTAGTCGTACTTCCGGAGGGGGAGGGGGCGACCGAAGAGTCATCATACAATCTAAACCCCGAGACAAGGAGATATAAAATAACTTACAAGACGACACAGCATCTCGAGATTTTGTCCGTTATATTATTTCATCTCGTCTGAAGGTCTAGCCTGTGATGTTTCCTAACCAACTCGATTGCATACTCTTTGCGATCGAAGGTACTGCACGCGATTGCTCAACCGTAAAGCCGCTATGCGCGACCGAAGCGACGAGTCTTTATTTCACGCCGGTGCACCCGCGCTGCTATTCAAAATAGAACGGGGTATAATGAGAGCGGTGGAGTTCGAGCTTTCTTAATTTTTCTTATTCTCGCTTATTTCTGTCTTCTTTGACTGATCGCGCTTGTTTCCGCATACCTATCTCGCTCACCAATGAATGGATTCCTCTCTGTATTGTAAAATGTGTTACCGAACTACGTGTTGTTTCATTTTTCTTTTCTTTTCTTTAGTTTTAAGTTGAGTTTAGTCTTGTCGGCGAAAAAAGAAGGTTAGGATCGCGGCGGTATTTGAGGAAGCTCTTCGGAAGGCGCGGATGCATAGAAGAAAATGGAAAGGGTTGAGGGGGGGGGGGGGGGGGGGCGCAAGGTCAACTCAATGACGACCGTTAAACTACTTGGCGTCGCCGCGTTTTTTGTTTTTGTTTCTTTTTCTTTCTTTCTCCCGGGTCTTTAACCTCCGCGCTCGTTTTTGTGTGCTGCGAAGTTTTTCGACTGCCAAACTACCATATAAAAAAAAAAAAAGAAAGAAAGAGAGAGAGAGAGAGAGAGAGAGGTTTATTGCCTCCGAAGGCGCGCTCACGACAGCTAGTCGAGAATGCGGGGACAAAGTCGTCTGCTTCCTGTGCAAGAGTTGCGATGACGTCAGAGAGACGTCGAGCTTTGATTGGCTCTGATTGGAGGATTGTGGGTAGACTTCAAAGCAAGCTGCCTCGAGCTGTACCCACTATCTTTCATTCAGAACCAATCAGAGCTCGACATTTCGACGTCACCACAACCCCTGCAAGCAAAGCAGACGAACTTGCGGTGAGCATAAGCTTGTATAGAGCCACTAAATGAGCTGCGCTTAGAGTATCGGCACTCCGTTCCCCGACATTGTTGTGGGCGCCGCCATTTTGGCTCGTATGCAGAGCAGACGCAACTGCCGATCGTCATGATTCAAAAGTGCGACATCCTCAGCATTAGATTCGGTGTTAGAAAGGTTATGTAATATTTCTTTGCTCTGTCGCGAACGGTTTAAAAATTTGTGGAGGGTGGAAAAGCGTTTCCTGTGATTTCAGATAAAGCTTCAGATAACTGGCAACCATGATTTTAAGACACAATATGGCCAAGTGTCGTTACTCTGAAGCGTAGCTTATTTAGTGGCACTAGGCTTGAACGAAGCGTCTACGCTCCCTCTGACGTTACGATATAGCGTAGCGGACGTAAGAAGCCATCTCAACCAATCCAGCGCTGCGAACGTGTCACGTGACCACGCGTCCCGCGCTTCGCCGCGTCTTTACCGAAGATCACGTGACCCTCACCCGGCTCATGATTGGCTGGAATGCGTCGGAGCGTCCACAGCGGTCCATCTCATGGTGAAACGGAGTACGTAGTCATCCCCGGACGGAGGGCCTCCCTCCATCGTGAACTTAGCTCGGCTATTGTGGACGGCGGCGCGCGCTTGTAAGAACGACCTTGTCGGTCAAAAGGTTTCCTGGTCTCCAATCGTCCTTGAGTCGAAAGTGCCGAGCACGTGGTGGGTGTGCTGTATTATAATACCCGCGTATATAAGAACTCCACCGAATACGAGGTTCACGCGCGAGCATTCGGGGGACATTGTGCAAAGAATTCAACGTAAACAAAAAGAAAAAAGCGAATTTTGAAAGAGGTGTTGACGCTCGTAGGCGATTCAGCTAGGAAATAAAAGAAATAAAGAGCGCGTTGCGGAGCAGTCGTGCTATTAGTTCGAAGGCGGGTAGAGCGGGCCGTAGAGGTGCTTCCCTGCTGAACTAGGACACCCGACGGTGAAGCAGCCTTGCCCGAGCAGCTTGGATCGAGCAAGTTCGTTTGTCGAGTAATCCAGATGTTTCCGTTTTTATGGGACGGAAATGTTTTTATTTTAGGCCAATGTTTTTGGTGACGTACTCGCATTCAGTTACTTTATTCGGTTCGAAAGCAGCTGTGCTGTATAATCGACCTCACAAAATGTACGTGAAGCACGGGCGCGTGAGCCTAGCTCAGCAAAATGCTTTTGTCTGTACCAGAACTCGTGCGTAGAAAGCACTTTCCAAAGCCACGCGCTCGTGCCCGAGTCTTTGTCTATTCGAAGAAAGAAAAAAAAAAAAAAAACCTGAAAAACAGTCGCCGCTAAATTTTCCGTCAATTCGAATTTATCCGAAAAACTCCGAATTTCGAGGTCACAACGACAAAATAAAAATACAACAACAAGAACAACAACGGTGTTTTAAAAATAAGCTTTAGAAGAGCACAGGATCAGTGGTCCTGAGGAGATGCTACTTCAGTTTTCTTTGAAATCTAGAACTACCGATAAAAGGGGGTTTGCTTTTTAGCACGGTCAAAGTTCCTTCGGACAACCGGTCATGGAAGTCGGACTTATTTATTTTGTTTTTCAACTTTTAGTATATGGGGACACCGCAAAATGAACTAAGGATTTCGAAGATTTGTGAATCTAACAAAAATAAACGGTGAACCCCGAATTTTCAGCGAAAATTAAACTCCGAAAGACTCCCTCCGAATTTCACGAGAAATAAACTCCGAAAGCACGGAATCCAAAGTATTGGTACGTTTCAACGTACAATCGCAGATAGGGGGAAACGGGATATGGGTTGTTTCTAATGCAACGGGTATAATCTGAGCAATTTTAGGTTTCGGTTTTAAATGTCGGTGGTTGTTGCCAACTTAATTACTGGTCTACTTTCTTGTTTTCATTACCGTGGTACTGGAAGTTTTATGTGTAGCGCAGGATACTCTAGGAAGTCAGCCGACCTTCGAACTTGGTCCCCCCCACCCCATCAAAAAAAAAAGAAAAGTATTGTGTGAATTGCAAATAGACGTCTCGAAATAGGCTACACATGTTTTGGTGCATCGTGCGAGTTGCAGCAAACTTACCTTAAACACCTTCGAGGTTTTTCTTTTTTAATGTTTGTCAGTTTTCTAACAAGTTGCTTACGGTTAGCAAGACCGTTCCAATAATCGCCAGCTTTTGTCTACTGGCCAAAGGTGGCGTCAGCGCACGCTTTCTTAGCATGCGCTGAAGCTGTTTTCTGCGCAATATCAGGCGTTGCGCATGCCCAGTAACTAAGCTTTTTTTTTTTCATCTTTAATAGGCGTTGGAAAGGTGAATAGGCCGAGCCGCCGACTGATCTCCAGGCCGAAAGATTGTCGAGATGCGCCTTCAATTCAAGGCTATGTCCCCCCAAAATAAAGTAGGGGCACGGGTGCCCTTGGAGGGCAGGGGCCCCTTTGACGGGGGCAGACCCGAAATACCGTGCCCGGTGCCAGCAGAAGCGGAGACTTGAGTTGGTCGCGGAAACCCGCTACGAAACAGGTGTCAGTCATCGGGGAGTCGTCGTCTGTCGTCGTTAGCTGAACGTGTTCCGGTGACTCTCGACGTAAGCAGACCAAAGTTTCCGTAATGTAACGCCACGTACGCAAAACGGTGCTGTGTGAGCTGGACTTTTTACTCTTTGGTGACAGCAAAACTCGATCCGTTCGAAGTTGAAATTGGTCTCATTAGGATCAGTTGTGACGTAGGCAGAAGGTTGTTTGGTTTTCTTTATCAGCATCACCAAAGCTAGGGAAGTACAGTACTACAGGTATTCCAATCAACACAAAAGTTAACAACAAACAAATAAGTCAAGTTTTTTTTTTTATTAATTAAAAAAGCATCGTGACGCGTTCGTATGTTTAAGGGAGTCTATATTATTTGTAGCGTTTTACTTTGACAGATATGCTACATCTTATTTAGTTGAATTCTCAATTTTCGAGCGGAGGTGACGGAACGTTTCTCTCGGAGCGCATTACCATTTGTGAAAGGTTAATTACCTACTTTGGGCTGTCACTGGATGAAGTGGCGTTCGATTAAGATTAATCCCAACAGGTTTATATGTTTGAAGTCTGAGGTGTCTTAACTCGCGTGATGGTTTCCCAAAAATATTGTTTGTATGTGTTTGTCTGTGCGTCTGGTGTGTGCGTAGGGGTGCTCATGCGAATACACGATACCGTTGGAACTAGTTTTCTTTGCGGCATTGTCGGATCGTGATACCTGAAAAAGTTGCCCGCCGCTCGTTTCTCAAACGCCCTCAAAGACTCAAAGGTCAAAAAGAGAAACGCGCGTGTGACAGATAAGAACGTTTTATCCCATAAACGACGAACAAACACACCTGCACTCTCGCTCTCTTCTCAACCTCGACGAGCTTTTCTTTCGTTGTTATTCTCTTCCGGGCACAATCTTCTGAGCCAGTACCGACCGTTTGCGCCTGTTGAAGCAAACCACAGCAGCAGGAAGCTTTTTTTTCTTGTTTTTTGTTTTGTCTCGCGACAAGTTTATACGTATATATTCTGGTTTTCCTCGTCGCGACCGGACATACTGCATATGTAGGTGTCTGATAGCTGTGCATATTTCGTAACGGACGGCAGCTTGTGCTAGCTAACCTATAACATGTAAAAACGCGTTTTCGAGAAAGTTTCTGGCTGCATGTCGACTCGATGAACAGCTTCAATCAGAGCCTGAAAGACGCGCGATACCAAGCCATTTGTCCCAAAAAATAGGTGTTCTTAAATGAAAAAAAAAGACAATAAAATAAATACTTAGTGGTATCACCCGAAGACTACCGTTATAGTTTAGAAATACGTAGCTTTGTGTATTTTATCTCAAATAAACGGAAGCATAATCGTTTATTGTCACACTTACGAAAAAAAAAGAAAAAAAATATTTGTATGATAAAACCACTAGGAAAATATTGATGGCTGCTGCAAAAATGTCACTAAAAGCGCAACTTTTTTTTTTTCTTTTTGAGCGTAAAAGAAGCAATAGTTTGAGACGAGGACATGTTCCATCAGTCTTCTCACTCATTGAACACGTGTTGCAGCCGAGCGCTCACACATCACTCGTGTGCAATTTATGTTCTGCGTGACGTTGTCTGGGGTAGATGTAAAGGGATCATTAAACGGGACAAAAACGTGGTTTCAAAAATTCCAACTGTCTCCGAGATTTCGTTTACGATGACGAGCGACAATGTAGACTCTTTAACTAAATAATTAAACTGAAAGCTGAAAGAGGTGGAGGCTGTAGCAGCTGTTCCGCGTTTCGCCGGTCAGGGAAGGTAAATGAAATTCCGTATCTGATCCCAGCTGCAATGTCACCCACTGGAACCAGGAGCGACCCGTGGACCGGGCCGTGCTCTTGGAGAACGTGAAGGGCAAGGACGCCCTGCTGTGCATGCTCACGGACAACATCGACAAGGAGGTGATCACGGCAGGTGAGAGCGCGACAGCGCCATCGTGCGCCCAAGATGTAGACGTGCGAGTGAGCTGGTACTACATCGCTCGGGCGCCCTTTAATGCTCGGACATGCGAGTTAAACATTGCTATACACTCTTCAAACTATAGTCGCGCGTAGTCTATGTTTTATTTTAATTTTTATTACCCTTAAATTGTCTGCCCATTTGTGAACTTTACGTAAAAAAAAAAAGGAGGGGGGGGGGGGGGAGTGGGATGCAAAGTCATGAAGCACTTACACGAACAACTTATAAATCAGCATCTGGCGATGGCCGTGCGCATCTCTGAAATCATACGCGTTAGGTAGAGTAACAGTGCTATTTGGTAGCTTGTTGCGTAATGCGGTCGACAATTGCAATAATGAATACTTATGAAAAGTTCGTTCGTGGAATAGCTAGGGTAGCTATAGCTTTATAGAAGGAATTATCAGGCACTTTTTATTACGGCCGTCTAAACTCTTCTCAGTTTTTTTTTAATCTAAAACTACGGTTGTTCTTTTTTTCTTTTTTTTTTTTTGTGGGGTACCCACGGGTCACGGTTACAACCTGGCCTCCATTCGCAGGCGACAAACTCAAGATAATCGCCACCATGTCCGTGGGGTTCGAGCACATCGACCTGGAGGAGTGTAAGCGGAGGTAACGCGTTGCAAACCCGACTGCTATAAGGGGGCGACGACGGATCGGATGCAATTTTCTCTCCGCAGGAATATTCCGGTGACGAACACCCCCGACGTGTCCTCTGACTCGGTGGCCGAGCTCACCGTGGCCCTGGCTCTGGCCGCAGGCCGAAGAGTAGTCGACTGTGCCCAAGCCATTAAGGAGTAAGCTCCTCCCATGGCGTCGGCGCATATATGCCGTGCCGACAGCAGCGCTGCCTCAGTAGCGCGTTTTCAGAGCGCCAAGGAAGGAATTTTACGAGTCACCTTTCATCGCATCCGTTGTCAATTTTGAGCCTCCCCCCCTTCCCCCCAAATGTTTCTCATACCAAAAAGATTGACAGTCACAGACTATCCATTGTCCATTTCAATCGTTTTCATCTCAAGGCATTGCCCTTCTGGATTTGCTTCCTATTTAAAGTCATCACCGTTTATCCTATCTATTCACATCTTGAATTGTCATTCGTTCTAACTCCTGTCCTCTTCAAGCCACCTTATTCATCCCCATCATCTGGTCCCAAACCATTTTCGACATTCTCTCAGACCACTGCTAAACGTAAAACACAATTTATCTCACCCACTATACCTACAACATGGTGCATCAATGTCCTTCTGTTTAGGGTAGGGACATTCTTTGCGTACGGAGAAATTGAGGAAGAGAAGTAGGCGCGCGAGGGCGTCAGGACACCGAACTCTGATTAGAGTTATAAGTGGATAGATGCAAAGCTGACATGCGCTTTTGTGTCTACTCACTTTTGTAACGCGTTGTAACGAGTTCGAACAATGAGTAGAAGCTTTGCTTCTATTCTCTAATAGCTCTAATATTCAGAGCTCGGATGTTCGGAGATCACAAGGAAAATACAAAGAAATCCCCGGAGACGACGCCAAAAGCGCGTGCGGGAAAACTCTTTCACGCGCTAAAAAACGAAACAAAAATAACAACAAAACCTAACAAGCATTTGGATAATAATATTTAGATGACATCAACCTAAGCAAAGCGCACATGAAGACACCCTACCTACAACAACCGGTGATCTCTTGAGCGACCATGCCACTGAGACATCTCTCAGTTGTGTCTAAATTGTAGCAAAGGTATCAAGCCTCGATGTCCTGATAAACTTCGAACGCAATGATATGAGTGATTTATGAACCTGTCTGATGGGATATTTTCCCGACGCAGGGGCGAGTGGCTGTACTCTTGGGGTCCCATGTGGCTGTGTGGTCAGGGGCTCCACAACTCTGTCGTGGGCTTTGTGGGCATGGGCCGCATCGCCCAATCTGTGCTGAAGCGCTGCCTGGGCTTGGACATCAAGAAGGCCATCTATTACGACAAGTTCCACCCCATCAAGCCAGGTGCGCTCAGTTAAAACCGTACAAGTCCCCTTTCTATATCAAACTCAACGTCCTGACCTGTGTAGAAAAGCTTACGTTTCACTACCCGTAAAAAGTAATCTAAGCCTTTAAAAGGTACAATATGACAGGAAATATGAACGTGCCTTTGCTTTTTTACTAAATCTCCTCGCCGAGCGCAAGCGCTTGGAGGCAAACTGGTCTGTTAGCGAGCGATACTCCAGTGAAACAGGGAACTTCCTTGCTCGCCCTCAGGGCCTCAGTGCAGGTTATCAAAGCACTTTCTATCATCGGAAAACCATTTGGGGACAAGGTTTTGATCGTGTCTGGCTCGCTACCTACTGTTGCCGATCAAAGAGCTCAGTGTCGCGCCGAGCTGGAGCGAAAAGGGTGCTACGTCTTTCTTTTTGGACAGCGTGTGTGTGATTTTGCAGCGCGTTTCGAACTTGGAACTTGCAACTTGCTGCTGCGGTGCCTGAAGACGCGCCAACATAGCGGCCATGTCCCCGCTATTCCGACTTTAAAGCCGATGAGCAGCCAAAAAGGAGGAAACTCTCTCTTAAAGGGATACTGAACCAAGGAATTTAGTGTCCATAATAGGTTGCGCACGTTCTTTCCACGAGCCAGCAGCCGCCGGTGTGCGCGAGCACACGCAACGAAAATGACATCACAGACCTCCATTCGCGCTTAAGAGGACAGTGAAATGCATGGCCTTCGGGCCAAAGGAAAATAAAGACAAGTTTTTCATATACACAGAGGTGTCTCTGGTGTAAAAGGTAAGCGATTAATTGGTCTAACAAGCACGTAGCTTTCACTTGTAGAGATGAAAAGCCTGTTTTTATTCTCCTTTGGCCCGATGCCCATGCATTTCACTTACCTCTTAAGCGCGAATGGAGGTCTGTGACGTCATTTTCGTTGCGTGTGCTCGCGCACACCGGCGGCTGCTGGCTCGTGGAAAGAACGTGCGCCACATATGGGCACTAAATTTTTTGGTTCAGTATCCCTTTAATTCCTCTTTCGAGGAAAAGGGGGTCCGCCCTCCTTTTTGCACGGAGTAGCTCGGAGACCCGCTCTTGTGAGGAAAAGGTAGGAGAGAAGAGTGCGAGAGAGAACGGAGAGATGGAAACTGGGGACCGGTTTTCTGCCCGGCAGAAGACGATTCTGCAGGATCGGCCTTTAAACGAACCTAAACTGTAGTAAGGCCAGCCTAACGCCTTCTATGGTCGATACTCCGTTTCACCCTGTCATGGACCACTATGGAGTCGTATCCCAGCCAATCCATCGCGCAGCAAACATGTCATGTGACTATGCGCACCATGCCTCGCCGCGCCCCTTACAGAAGGTCACGTGAGACTCGCACGGCATTCAATTGGCTCGGATGGCTCGTATATAGTGTGCGCTGAGGTCTGATGAAACGGAGTTTATACAGTGTAACCTAACCTGACGGAAAGTGCTGCCAAGAAGGAATTTTAATACACCTATACTTTTTAACCTACAGCGTTTTTGGTTGCGGACGATGAGGTGGACGCCACGATCGATACGATGAACCAGTCAATAAAGCAGCGCAAAAAGTGCGTCGTCACGGCGCGCGTCGTCTTTGTGCGTCTGCCACCAGCGACCAAAACCAGTCAATCACGAAATGAAACACGAATTCCATGAATCGCCAAACATTCTGAAGCGTTCAATGATGCGCAGCGGAGGACATGGGCGCTGTGTTTGCGCCCCTGGAGGACGTGATCAGCCAGTCCGACTTCGTCATCACCCTGGTGAACCTGTCGGAGGAGACGCGAGGCATGTTCAACAAGGCGCTCTTCCTGAAGATGAAGAGGACGGCCGTCTTCATCAACACCAGTCGGTCTGTTGTTTCAAAGTTCGATTCTTCAACCCTCTTCCTCCTCCCGCAGAGCATGCAATGAGAGTTTCTGGATTATATACGCGGAGGCAGCTCCTCGAACGAGCGGAAAACATTGGTAGCACCCACAGACGTGATTTGCGATTGGGTATTATGTAGCGAGTAAAATGTTACGTTAAATGGACCGTTTTCAGAAGTCAGAGTCATCTAGTTGCAGCCTTAAAGCCTTCGATATTTTCTCACTAATGGCGGGGACAGGATGCCAAGATTGCCTAACTTCGAGCACTCATTGTGAATCGAAGGCGGCGTAGATGGATCATCTTGTCAGAATCAATTTCTCGCTTTCTGCTCTGCACTTTCTCGAAGACGTTCGCGTTTCTTGTTGTGGATAAGGTGTGCAATGCAACCATTGAAACGTAAGGGTTGACTCTGGACAGAGTGGACAGACTGGCTTTTGAAAAGGGTATAGTAGCACAGAATCGCATTTTGTTTGGTCTTAATGTCTCCTGGGCTTCTGTAGGACGCAGTAACCGAGTCCCCAGCCCGCTCCTGACGCTGTTTGTGTACGCGTGTCTTCTTCCAGGGGCGGCGTGGTGAACCAGGACGACCTGTACGACGCCCTCAAGAACAACGTTATCCGCGCCGCGGCCATCGACGTCTCTTTACCCGAGCCCTTGCCCAAGGACCACAAGCTTCTGACGCTCCGGAACCTCAGTGAGTACCATGCACAAACAGTGTGGCTCTCTGGAAGTGTTTTCGAATCCATCCGGTTCGCTGAACCGTATTTTACGCCCGGCGTCCTCCCATGTACTGCGCTTGTACAGGTTCGCTCTACTTCGCTCGTCTGGCACTCGTTGTAACCTCGCCGTGTTATGACGAGCGGAATTCTGACGGAATCCTGCAAGTTTCACGTATTTATTCGACTTGTACCTAAGGCCTTTTCGCTTCACCCATGTCCTCTTCTTCTTTCACTTTTCCTGCTTTGCCTCTATAGCACCGGCTCGTCGCCTAGCGGTACTTTGCATTTCGGTGATATTGGGAGCGCGGTATTTTGGGACTTTTCCAAAGGGCGGGTGTATTGGCTACTCGGGATTGTATCTCGGTGTAAGCCACTGCAACGTAATCAAACGCTACTCTGTTAATCGCCTCTATAGAGCGCATAGTGTAGGAAACAAAACCGCGAAAAGCAAACAAACTTGAGCCAAACCAGAAGAAAAAAGACGTACTTTGTCCTTCCACGTAATCTCGTCGAAGTCCGCGCTATTTCGGCGCCGATGCTGTTGTCTCCTTGTCGCCGTAATGTCGGCGACGTTCTGTATGAACGCTATCTGGAACCATGGCACTCATACTGATCCCCGTAATCTCACAACATTATTTTGTGGCGGCTTGCGAGCTGTCTGCTGTTTATTTTCTGCTATGTGTGTAGAGGGAAGTTTATTGTGCGTGTCCCACGAATACATCGTGCATTCTGCTGCGAATTTATCGATCGTCCCTGACCGCATTGTCTCCAACCTCACGCTACGATACAGTTCCTTATCTCGAGTGTCCCCTTAAAGTCGATGGACAAGATAAGAAGAGCAAACATAAACGCAGTGTCCATGAAATCATTGAGGTTAAAAGCGTACACACTGCGGCGATACTCTTAGTGCGAACCACGCCATCGGCGTTCCTTCTCGCGTTTTATTGAGACTGGGTGTTGACGAGCACCAAGTTTGACCAGCTAAGTTGGCGCTTCAAATCAGTACCATCCATCGCGCCGGGGTGCTTCGTGCAACATCCCCTCTATGGTGTGGCTAAAAAGTGTGTTTCACTTGAAATAACGGTTGCTGAAAAGACCGTGGATGTAATACCCCTGGCAGACGGGCTAGATTAGTGTCACTACAAGCGAGTGCACTTCGCCCTTAGTGTCATTTCTGTAGTGTGCCACACGACTCCTTTCCGAGGAACACACTTGGTTTGGAGTGAGTTTGAGGAACTCACTTCGCTCGATCGAGTGCGTGGAATCAATAGGAGTGGTTCAACAGTAAAACATAACAACACAGAAACCAAAAGCGTTGCTTAAGTTTTATTTTATAAAGAAAAAGAAATTCGTGAAAGAGACGACATGTAGAAGTGTGGCATTGCAAAAATGTAGTGGGGTGGACTTGGAGTTTAGGCTTATCTGAATGAAGATTAGCGCAGCGGTGAATTGATAAAAGACGACGACAAAGTTAGTCATTCATGGCTATCTTGGTTAGCAGAGAATGATAGCCAACTTTTGTTTCAGTGTGTAATTATTCGAGACAACACGATAATTATGATCTGATTAGGCAGTGTCAGGGTCTCCTCGTAGACTTCCGTGGAACGAAGCGGAACGCCAAGGTTGAATATTGGCTTGCGATGATCGAACACAATCATCCAATTGGCGTAAAAATGGTTCATTAATGTAACGTTGTTTTACAGCACAGCTCCTAGGCGCCCGTTTCTAAGTTAAGCGGCGTCGGCGTAACCGGCGTCGGCGTAACAAAATGACGTCACACGTGACGTCACGTGTGTCGTCACGTATGACGTCACGGGGGTAAACTTTTCCCGCTAAATTCTGCGGTAAAAGTTTTTGCTAAGTTTGGCGGAAAAGTTTTCCGCTAAATTTAGAGGAAAAATTTTACCCGTTTGACGTCACATTTAAAATTTCAGATGACGTCATGTTACGTCACACGTCAATTCAGCGGGAAAAATTCCCGGCTAAATTTAGCGGGAAATTTAGCGAAATTTTTACGCTAAGTGGGATGGGAATAATAGGAGAGGAAGTTGAGAGGGTACGGAGGGGGAGCAGCTGGCATACCCTCCCCTTCGTACCCTCCCTCCCTCGTCGTCAAGAGCTGCGCTCTAATTCGGCATTACAGAGAATCGTAAACATCTAATTTTTTTAACATGTCTTTAATAAGGGGTATCGGTGGCCGAGCGGGCTAGCGCCCACCAGATCGGAGTATGTGAAGTGAAAGCTCGCGCTGGAGAACCCAGTGATCCTGAGCTCAATCCCCCAGCCCTGCCCGAAGAACACACTTCCAATGAAGTGAGTTCGGGGAGCACACTACGCTCGCTCCTGTAGACTGAGTGTGTAATCTCGATGGCAGTGTTCAAGGAGTAAAAATAATAGAAGAAATTAACGCTGCGTAAAATTAGTATTATTTTGATAGGAGTAATATTAGATGCGCACTTGTTTTCTCTTGGCAGGAAAGTAGTGCACTGTAGAAAAACAAGTGGCTAATCTAGTTTCCAGCCTTGTCCCCTGCGCGACGGCAAGCGACGGCCAGGAGGCACCTGCAAGAGGAATCTGAAGGTGGTAGGAGAAACGCGAAAGGCTTGCTTCAAATGGAACTCGCCCAAATGGGGCAAGGTGTCTTCGAACTACCGTTTGTTCCTCTGGAAAGTCCACCGTTCTTGACTGATCACGGGTAGGCTGACGGTCATGAGAGCGGCTATGGTGAAGGCATTGGCCTGCAGCTGCTGATCGATGTCACTTGAAATTCTTGCCTGTGCGTCGGCATCGAGGTCCAGCTGCCTCTCATCTGAAAGGCGTTGGGCTCTCACGGAGAAAAGTGCCCCAATCACGCGCTTCCACTGTCCAACATCGCGGATATCGCCCTCCAGCTCGTCCTCCACAAACTCCATGATGTTTCGTTGTGGCGAGTGGCCAAGTGGGCTCGCGCACACTAAAGTCACTGGATCCTGGGAAAGTAACGCCAAGCTCGCCTTGTGGTCGCCATCTTGGTCCGTGAAATGAGCAATTTCTCCTTGACCCCTCCGTTCTTGGTGAGCCGATCTAGATTCTCTGGTGACGGGTAGCTTTATTGAGTCGTTTTTTGTATACCGAGGTTTTGCTAACTACACACCGGTGAAACAAGCGTACACAGTCGTGCCACCACCAGATGCTGTGTCGGTGCTTGGAGGCACTGAAGAATAAGTTTACTGTATTCGATTACGCAAGAAGAACAATATAATTGAAAGAGATCCACGCAGATGGGCATGAGAAATAGGTTGACTGCATACAGAGTGCCATAAGACTCTTATATTGGCGAGGAACGCCTCCAGTACGATGATGCTCCATGGTAATCTTGGCGCGACTGGTTTAGAACGACCCTCTGGAAGCTTCGAAGATTTAAATGGACTAAGATGGCGATTTCCATGGCAACGTAGACCGATTAGCCAATCGCCTTGCTAGGTTTGGGTCGTGTGCATGTTAGTATCCGTTTGTGTCCGGCTAGCAGGTAGGGAAGGCAATGGCGCTACTTTCCCAGGATCCAGTGACTTTAGCGCACACCAGCTCGGAGTACGCGGAGCTAAAGCTCGCGCTGCAGAACCCAGGAATCCTGGTTTCAATCTCTACTTCTGCTCGTTTCGATCTATACTCCGTTTCACCTTATGTTGTACCGCAGACAAGGCTAGAAGCGCGAGCTTATAGCGTTAGGAGCTACTCTTAACGCATGAGAGCTTGTGCCGCCGAGATGTGCCCTGAGCAAGGAGCTCGCGCTTGTAGCCTTTCCTGCGGTACATTATAAGGTGAAAAAGAGTATAAATGAGCATTGTACCGGCGTGCGGACGTGTGTCACTGGCTTGTAATGGCTGACCGTAATTGTCAAGTTTGATTTAAATTTGAATTAAAGCTCGTGACTTAGCGCAACAATGTGTGGTAACGTGTTTCTAATAAGACGACGAAGTTATTTATGAAAAAAAAAAGCGTATGCACTGTAATATTTTGCGTGCGCGTGCCCATTACTTACCCATCCTCATTGCCATCATTTTGGAGTGACACTAAGTTTTCCCGTGTTGCACCAACACACTTGGAGTGTGTTTCGACGGGTTGAAGTGCACTCGCTTGTAGTGACACTAAACTAGCCCGTCTGACAGGGGTATAAGTCTCTGGAACACCCGTTTTACATATGGTTTCGTGGTGGACCTTCTATACATTATTTACAATGAAAGATCGGTAGACAACGGATGCGGGCCGCGAGACCGGTGAACATGTCGGCAGCATGCATAGTGCGTGGCCCGAGCTGAGGTCTCGCGTCACTTCCGAAGACGACCATGTCCCGCCATAACGCTCCCTGCTTCTCGATAAAACTAACCAATTTCTGGGAAGCGCACTGGTTTGCTTGTAATGCGCTTGGGGCGTGTTCTGGGTGGAGGAATCGGAACGTACGAGGAGGATGGTCCAAGGGAGCTTACTGACGGCGACTCGATATTCGGCATAACAGAGCCCTCAAAACTGTTGGTCGGCGTAGGCTTCGGAAGCGAGGTGTTCGTCGTTGCGGAGACTATCTTATGAATCGCACCGGCAAACCCCCCTGTCAAGTGTGTGATGTTTATCCCGACGCAAAACACACCTACCGATCTTGTCCTCGCGCCCTCCAATCTCCCCACTTTCTCGTCCCCCACCTTCCCTTTACCTGGGAGATTTGGACCGCTCCCCCTGTCCTCGAGCCTCTTCACGCCTTGCACTTTGCCTATGTGAGGTACCCATAGGTCTCCCAAACTTCTCCTAAGGCTCCGACCTGACCCACCGGGGTCCTCTTGAAGGATCCCAAGCTCTAGTTTCCAGTGCCTGGACCTGAGTGGTTCGAATGAAGTTTTAACTCTCTCTCTCTTTCCCGGAAGATCTTTAGCTTTGGTCACCTGCATCTTCTGTTTCGGCAGAAGCAGAGTCGAAGACCTGATGTCTTGATACTTGATGTGATGTTGAACTGCAATGTTCCTTGCAGTTCAACCAACCGACTTCGCATGTCGTTGTTGTGTGGGGTTGATTACACTCACGTAAATGCGACGTTCTTGTTTCGCCCGTTTTTATATGCAGTCGTGACGCCGCACATCGGCAGCTCCGAGGTGAGCGTCCGCATCGAGATGGGCCTGCTGGCCGCCGACAACGTCATCAACGCCGTCTTGGGCAAGCCGACCCGCACCAAGCCGGTCAATGCGTAGGACGCCTCTCCCCACCCCCTGACATAGAGCATACTCGCAGCGCCTGCCGTGTCGGACAATCTGCCCTGTTCCTCGTTCCCCGTGTTGTAACCAATAAACGATGGTGCCAACTGTTAATGTTAACCACGGTCCCTCCCTGTCTAAGTTTACAAATCCCCAGAGATCACCGGTCGTTTATGAGGAAAGATATCAGTGTTTTTCGGCCCATGCAAATAAACTGAGGCGTCGCAGAAAGGCCACACCCCGTGAGAATGTGACGCTATAGCGGTTGGGATATAGAGCGTGAAAGTCTGAGAACATGATGTTACTTGAATCGAAAGATAATTGAGGAAGACAAAATTTCTCTATGAGCCGGCGCCCACCTAAGCCCAATAAGTATCGTCAAAACAATTGAGATTGTGGACGCATGCGGCATCTATATAATAGGAAAACACTTTTCAACAAGAAAAAAAAAATTCTTTCTTGCTGGCAAGCTTTCCTTACCAGAGTGGGCTAAATTGTGAAACACATGTGAGCAAAAATCGCGTCGCGTCGCTCCCCCGAGTGTAGAAATTATAGTAACCGCCGCTGACGCTATTACGCGCCGAATGCCGCGTCGCCACTTGGTCACCACTACCGCCATGTCACAGCGTTAGCGACGATCAACTTTGGCGATGGTTGCAGTGGCTGCGCCGCTCAGCGCGCGCTTACATGCAAGCGCATAGAGAAAATGGCCGGAAAAGTTATCCGGCTTGACCGCAAACGGCTTAATAAACCCGTCATTGGCATTGCGCCGTGCCCTGGCGCCTATCAAGAGGGCTGTCATCTGATGTAACAGGTGTCAAAAATAGCGGCCAGGCTCTTTAAATCAACCACAAAATTCGGTTTCTTAACATATCGAGCTACGATTTTGTGCAGCGCTGGCCACGGGTGGTGCATTTTTGTATGAAATTTGCAAAGAGCGAACTTACCCGAGGAAACAGTAAAAAAAAAAGGAAAAGGCTTAATTTCTATGGAAACGCAGCGAAGCCACCAGTTTTCAAACGATGGGGCGCCCTATGGTTTGAAGACCGGTGACTTCGCTGCGTTTTCCCTCGAAGACATCCAAAAACTTGTGAACTAGAAATTTCACATTCGAGAGAGAATGGACTGTTGCCTTCACCTCCGAGAGGTTGATTCCCAGCTGTCGAATCCAGTTGCGTCCAAGCAGTGCAGGCGAACCATTTCCAGTAAGGAAGAAAGAGAAAACCGCCTTCTTATCTTGGAACTCTACTCTTGCGTCTATTTTGCCTTGGACCGGAGTCCGTTCCCCGGAATAACTTTGTAACAGCACTCTAGATGGTGTGACAGGTACAGCTGGAACAAACTCACGAAAAAGGCTCTTTGACATGGCGAAGGCGGTCGGTCCCATATCCATTTCCATGCAAAGTGGCTTGCCGCACACGTTGACAGTGACGGTGAAAGGCGGCGACGGCGAAGCGCTGTCAACCTGCCACGATGTCACTCCGGTATCTTCATTGTCATCGAGAACGTTCATTGGAAGTGTATATGATGGACGAAACTTGCTTCCTGGCCCTGAAAAACGCTGATTCGCAGGTTTGTTCTTGGACGATTGAACGTCCTTCTGTTTTGAATTACAGACCTTCAACAGGTGCCCCCGCTTCCGGCAATAGTTGCACGTGGTATTCACATGCTTGCAGCTGGACGCAAGGTGTCCGCCTCCACAGTGGTTGCAGGTGACATCTCCCGGTAGACGCGGTGAGTCGTGAACACATTGCTGCTAGAGCTTGCCTCTCAAGTCTCTCCGGTGTCTTTCTTCACTGCTTCCATGGCCAAGGCGGTCTGCACGGCATGCTCGAACGTGAGGTCCGGCTGCTCCAGAAGCCTGATCTGGATTGTAACGCTGTTTATTCCGCAAACTATGCGGTCTCTCAGCATGTTTCCTAGCTCTGTTCCAAAATTGCATTGCTCCGACAGGCTCTTCAATGCTGAAACACAATTGCCTTACCTTCCGCGCGAACATGCGAATTGAAATGAAACCATTTAAGGACGGCAGAAGTGACTTCCAAGAATGTTAAGAACTTTGTCTAAAAACTTGTCTTGTGTTTGGTGGGCTTCAGCAGGTCTCGCACTAGGTCTTTGCGCTACAACAACTCATGAAAATGTCCTTTTTCTTGGCATCATAGACGTCGTTCGCCGGAAAAAAAGCTTCAAGACGTTCGACGTATGACGGCCAGTCCTCACCTTCTCCCTTAGAAGGTAAAATCTGTCCAACGTGGGCATGGCGAGTGCAGAAGCTTGTTAGGTAGATATAGAGCACGTCGCGAACTTGCGACGCAAAATAACTCGAACGAAGTATGTTTCCCTCGTCGCCAAACAAGCGGGGATAGACGGCAAGGCCACCAGGAAGTGGCCGACTGAACAGAAGCATGACGACGCTCATTGGCGAAACTGTGTTGTTAATGTGAAAGCTGTCGTCCAGGAACTAGAGAGCGCAATTCTGACACCGCGCTAAAAGTTAATATCATTCACATACGCAACATGACTCCACGAACCCTCGGTTGAGTGAACTCTAAGCTTCCAAAGTTTATTGACTCCATATCCAGAGCGTCTCGGTGTACTTTCGGCTGAGGAACCTGGGGTTCAGTTCCGGTATCTCGGAGCCACCAGGGACCAAACTGGTGGTGCCATAACCCAAGGTGGCGATGGCGGGTACGTTGATGAAGCGCATTCTGCAAAGGCAAACGACACGGTGTTTTAGAATTCTAGTGAGCGGCCATACATGGCTTGCACTTACGTCACACCAGCGGTCATTGTAATGACCTTGTGGCTGAGCGCGACTTACTGCAAACCTGACCTGTCCACAGAAGGGTGTGCCAGTGCGCGTCTTGTAGTACAGGCCGCGGCCGCAGCGTTTGGTCACGCTATGATTACACGGCGCCACGTAAATCTCTTCTTGTTCTTACGGTACCATGGCAACCGCTGGCGCGCAAGGCCTGGTGGCGTTATCTGGCCCTGGTCTCCCCCTGAATCCGCTCTTTTCACGAGATCTCGAATCTAGTCAGTAAGCACTTGACAGATTTTAGCGCAGTAGCTATCTATAGGTGATTTGAGAAGGCGCCTTGATGTCGTCGTTTGTTAAAGTTGCACCTTTTTTAAGTGTTAACAATTTCGGCAATCGACGGAGCTGGTGCCGCGATATGTGCCAAAAGTTGGCGCTTGTCGCGCGGCTTCATGTGTTTCCCTAGGAAGTGAGTTTCGTACAGTTTACCCGTGACTGGTCACATTATGTCTTACTCCAAGTATCAATAAGACCAGACTCTTTACTGATAATTGCAGACAAGAACTTGTGCAAGAACAGTTTTCAATAGTTGTTTTTATTGCGACACGAAGGATCGTGCATTGACTGCGACAAATCCCGCAACTAATGTGGGTAAACTACCTGAGGTAAAGGAGACGTAAAAACCTGACGATTTCACGGGAACTGTGCAATCACCGTAACCTGGTGTGTTTCAATGAAGAGCACGCTCTAATCGCACGTTTTTTTCTTTATTGCTTGTCGTTTTCAAATACCTAATCAAACCCCCCGAGATAGCTCTCGTTACCAGCGAGAAACGGCCTATGCGCAATTCCTTTCCTGTTAAACGCACTTTCTTTTGCTGGTGCCGCGCTGTACGGTACAGCATGTTCCTCGAACTTGTTCCCGATCAGCTGCGCACATGATAGGTTGTGAATCGCGTTTTGATCGCACAGAACCCTTTACCAAGCTCCCTCAATGGCAGAAAAATGCACTCCACCGGCGACAGCCCCCTACCATAAGGAGCCATTCTGTGGGCATGTCAGGGTCACAGTAGGTCATTCTGCTGAACAAGTGTTACCTCCTGTGGCAAGATATCTTGCCCCACGTAATTTATTTCTCTCGGTAAGAACACGTAGGAGTGAACACCAGCATGGTGGCAATGACGACCCTCGTAAGCCATGAGTATGATCTCTGTAGACGTCTCACCTGTATCCGGACACACGGTCGATGAACGCCCGGTACGACGGCCGAACCAGGTGGGGCTGAAGCACGCCCTGTGAGGTAAGTATAATGTGTCAATGGGTTTCAGCGAAGTCTAACAGAGGGTATTCAATGGACGCCATATTTGAGCGCGGTGCTCACGGCTCATGTTGAGAACGAGCTCTCACTTGTCGGCTGTCGACAATCGTGATAGTCTGAAATGCACTTCGCGGATTGACTGATTGATTGAAAGCGTCTTTATTGCTCATTCAAGCGAAATTGGAATCCTCTGCTCTGGTCTTTGGGTCCTCCGCTAGAGGAACGTGTCAGGGGTCATGTGGGAGAGTTGGGTTGGGTGAAGGAGACACGAGCAGGAGGTGATGATAGGTCAGGCTGCCGGGGTTGTGGGGTGTCCACTCTTCGGAGGCGTCACGAAGACTTGCCATTAACACGCGGTGGGTAGCGCTATGTCCAAGATTCAAGAAACGTATACCAGCCGAAGGTGAGGAATCTGTCCACACTCGCCAGACACGTGGTTTGAAATCATCAGACTAGTAAAAACGTCACTTTCCCACAACAGTGGCGTTGTCAGTGCAGTGAGAACTCCGACCCTCGCCATTTCCTTATTAACTTCTCATATGGCGGCACCCTCGAATTGCGAATAAATTGTATATGAAGAATTTTGTGAAGAATTGTGGAAGGCGAAAATGTAGGAAATGCTTTTCTTACGACTCATACCAACAGAGAATATTTGCAGAGTTGCTGTTTTAACACCAATAAAGTAGCGCCAAAAGCGCAACGTCATGTCGTTAGCCGTCGTTCTATGCATTAAAAGCGAGCCGTGACCTTTCGCTCTTAGTCTGTGCGGATACGTGCGTGTCTTCTAGCTCGTGACTAAGCTCGAACTTACAGTGAAAGGGTGGTACGAAGTATAATAAAACAGAAACGGCAAAGGCGCGTGACTTTTGTACCTCCTCGATGCTGCTTTTACCTCGTGAGCTACAATGCAGAGTCAATACCTTCTGGTACTTTGGACCTATTGCACCGTTGTAGCCCTCCAAGCTAAAGGAGATGTAGCCTCATTCTTCCCCACAGCGCGCCTGTCTGTCAAATCAGGCGACCAAGGACCCATAAAATCGTCAAACACGAACTTTGAGCAGAAATCTGGCGGACAATTGCAAGCATGGCGCCTCACCGGTGCCCCCTGCGTGCAGGCATGTGCAGCGTGCGTTTGAGCGTAACTTTGGCAAGCTTGTAATTGCACGCGCTTGCCCGCACGAGCTGAGACATGGCGACGGCCAGATGCCCGGCTTGCAAACCGCTGCCGCAATGAATCGAGGGAACTTTAGTCATTCTGCATTTGCCAGAACCTCGCTGGAGCTCTGCGCGTGCAGAGGAAGGGACGTCTCGAGCACCACTGTCTGCCTTTTGTGAACCAAAGCTATGGCGACTTCACGCATGCACCGAACGTTTGGTGAGGTCGGTGTTTTAGATTTTGGTGACAAAAGCGCAGCGTCATAGCCGCAAGAGTTTAATCGGCGCGCTCCGTAAACCTAGCCCCAACTTTGTGTTTGTCGAGTCTTGGGCCCCAGTACACTACGCGGTACTCTCGGTAAGCCGTGCTCTGCAAAGAAATCCAGGGGTGCCATGTTGCGCTTTTTGCACTCCCAGGAGACTAGGGAGAGGGAAGTGACGTCAACGACACAGCAAACGCAGATTGGGTGTTGATTTCGTTTTCTTCTGTCAACATCCAATCTGCATTTGCTGTGTCGTTGACGTCACTTCCCTCTTCCAAGTCTCCTGGGAGTGCAAAAAGCGCAAAATAGCACCCCAGAGCTGAGCTCAGACGATAAAAAAAAAAAAGTTCCCAAGGTTTCGAGCAACACCCGGAATCGTACCACTGTGAGCAGGACACCGCTGCAGATGGCGAAGAGGACGGATGACGCCTCGTCGGATGCCGAAGGCAGAAGTCCAGACGCCTCGCCTCTCTGGTAGGCCAACTGCGCAGACAAAAAAACAAAAACAAAAACAACAACATGAAGTTCATTTATGGCTCGAAGCAATCACTGGATCTGAAAGAACGAACCTCGACGCATCGGCAGACGACGTATAGAGCCAGTCGGGGACTTGGCCAGAAAGCTAGCGTTGGACCAGCAATTAGGGCAGCCAGGGACTCGTGCCAGGGTTGCTTGGGCCCTCGTAGTCGCAGCAGACAGGACGTCAACTGTGTCGGCACCATGTTTCACAAGACAGAAGGACAAGAACGCAACTGAGTAAGTGTGGTCTTTCGAACGCCCGGACTCCAGAACGCGCTCCATATCTTCCACCGTGCTTTGACAGCGCGCGCGTTCGAGGTGCACGAGACGTCGAGGCATAGGCCAGTAGCTCTCAAGTTTTAGCAGCGCTCCAGGCGAGTAAAATAGAATATTTGGCTCGCGTTTCGAACGTGCGTCATCACGCTTCCCCGCTTCAGTTTTTTTATACTCTGTTCCATTCTAAGTGGCAGCGTAGAAGAGGCTACAAGAGCGAGCTCCGAGCTTGGAGTGTCCCTTCCAAGGAAGCACGCGCGCTCGTGCAGTGCGAGCATCGTTCTGGGGGAACATGTTTTCGCAAGTAGTTTCAGCTTCGCTATCACGTAAAGTGAAACATACGGGTTCACGGAAGGTATGAAAGAACGCGATAAAATAATAAAGCTGAACGGAACCCTGAGGCCGCGAGCTGCATAATTCGTTTTAATATATATATATTTTTTTTTTTAAGTTTAGTTTTTCTTTCTTTTAGGTGTTTTGTTATCGCGCGTCTACAGATGCTGACAGATGCTTGCATTCGAACATGGCACGTGCAGAATTCAACGTTACAGCGCCGCCTGGATAGTGCTGCCGCCATAACATGGTCACGTCTTGCGGACGCGCTCGCGCCCCCTGCCCGAGTGCAACGGGCCTATTGTCGAAGGTAGAAAGCTCTCCTTCGGTCTTTTTACTGGTTAACGCCGCAACCTCATTGGTGGAAAATTGAGAGTTTCGGTGACTACTTAGTTATTGTGTCTTGTGGACTGGAATCTTCGTGATCACAGAGCGCGTATAAAAGAAGCCGTAGCACGCGCTGCACGGAGATAGTCTTTCGCAAGCGCTCGATTCTGTTGTTCTGCCGACATCGGCTCCCACGCGACGCCCATCATATTGCATTTTTATTTTGGCACAAGTTTGCCGCACTAAACTTTCAGTTTCCTCGGTTATTTATCATCACTCGTCATCCGTGATGATAGGTGGTTATTCCGTTTACACACTACTTTGTGACCTGTGCTTGTGCCAGAAGGATCGTATGTTACTGCAAACAGGGCAGGCGTCTTTATTAAGCGGATGAGTCAAAATTAAGTTGGAGAGTTCGTATACGTACGCTGTAGATGGCTCCCAGGGAACCCATGAACAGACCGGGTCGGATATCCAAGCGACGTCCCCAGGACAGAACCAAACTTAGCGCGCTGCCAGCGCCTCCTAGGATCACGAACCGCTGCGTGTGTGATACACGTGGCAAGAGTATCGCCATTAATCACCCTTGCACATCGATGCGTGCTTAAATCTAAAGCCACTGGATTCTAGGAAACTAGTGGCATTGCCCTGCCTGCTGGCAGGACACACAGATACTAACATACAGACGACCAAAACCTCGCAAGGCAATTGTCTGATCGACATTCGTTGCCATGGCAATCGCCATTTTGGTCCTTCGAAATCTTCAAAGCTTCGAAAGGGCCGTTTTGAATCAGCTATGGAGCATTATCGTACTGAAAGCGTTCCTCGCCATTATAAGCGTTTTTTTTTTTGGCACTGTACTGCAATCAAAATATCTATCACGCTTATCTCCACAGATCTCTTACAATTATATATTTCTTCCTACGTAAGACAGGAACATCATTTTCCAATGCTGCCAAGCACCGACGCCGCATGCGGTGGCGGTACAAAGATGTGCGCTTGTTTCGCCGGTGTGCGGATAACAAAACCTAGCTATATATATTTAAAAAAAAAAGTCTTTATAAAGCAACAGCCGTTACCGCAAGTCTGGATCGGCTAAAGGAGAGGTCAAGGAGAAACCGCTCATTCCATGGATCAAAATGGCGCCCACACGGGGACCTTGGCGCTCCTTCCCCAGGATCAAGCGTTAAATCGAATGCTACACGCCAACACCTCATGGACTGGAAGGTCGTAGTTCTGAATATTTTTAGCGTCACCTACGAGAGTCCAACGCGGGCCCGATTCTCGCACGAGGGCTGCGTCATCGTTCAGCAAGGACTCGTGCCCTCGCTGATTGGACACGAACTCCAGCCGAACGCTGACGCGGCGCTCGTGTCCAATCATTGCCCTGCTTTGGATTCTTGTAGATGACACCGAAAATTCACTAGTGGGGGATCGGTGACCGAGTGGGCTGAAGTGCACACCCAGCTCGACGCGCGTGGAGCGAAAGCTCGCGCTGCAGAACCCAGGGATCCTGGGTTCGAGCCCCACCCCTGCCCGTTTCGATCTGGATGAGCATCGTACCGGCGTGCGGTCGTGTATCATTACTGCGTGGTGCACGTTAAAGACCCCAGGCTAGCGGTTGTACTGCACTGGCTAAATTGCTCATCTACAGCGTGTGACTCGTCCCAACTTTAAATGGCAGACCAACTACACGCTGTATAAATATCCCCACAACCCCAATTATTATTATTAAATTCACTAGTACGCGTCCTTGAGTTCTTGCATGCAAGCACGAGTTCAAAGTTTGAGTGGACGCTTCTGGTGCACATGCGCGAGGTGCAGCCGGTGCGTACGCCATAGATGCGGCGTGCGAAAGCATTTTGTGGTGTCACGAATATATAGACCCAGAAGGCTTCGTCCATCTGTCGATTTGCACTCAGTTGTGTATACTCAAGTGCCACAATCAGTAGTGTGAACACTCGTCTTTTTTTCGTCCACCGTTTTCTGTAGCCTCCAAGACGATTCTGTCGTGCTCGCACAGCAGGCGAGCACAGAAATTGTCAAGTAGTAGACGGGACTAGAATCAAGTGGCCGTTCGTGAAGTGGTAGCGAGATCCATAATCGCTGGTCGTGACTCTAGCAACGGCCAGCTGCCCGGGGCTACAGACACGAACCGTTGCCTCCACAGAAAGGCAGCGGCCCGTGCCATGGAGACCTATTCGCGACTCCAACTAAACAAACTCAATTTAAGACAAAACATCAGATAGTTCACATTTCAAGAGAGGGCATGACAGTCGAATAACGCAGCTCAGAGCTATCCGGGGACCTTCGATCCTTGGGGATTCCATGGCCGTCAGCCAGGGAGACAAAACGAGTCGTCGCTTGGTCGACATCCCAAACAACCGCAAATCGAATTTATTGGCGCCCTTCTGCAGAGAGGCATGCTTACCCCTAGTGCGACGGCCAAGCACATCGACATGGATCCCTCGCAGCCTTCCGAGCTCGTGGCGTGCTTGCAGAAAATCGGTTTGGCTCCCAGCAGGAGTCTGCGGGGACCAGAGCCTCAAGGCTTTGCAGGACAAGCGCCGCTGGAGACTCTATACAATTCTCGAACACTCACGAACCGTAGGGCCCAACGCACGATGTCTCCGCCGCCGACACCTCTGCATTGAGAGAGATACTGCTGAGTGATACGTCCCCCAAGCTTAACGAAGGATGTAATATTAGCTGGCCTATTGTTTTTCCTCATGACTGAGCTGTCAACAACTTCTTGCGCAATGGTTTTGGCGCTGCGCCATCTTTCGACCTCCATCAACGATCAACAGGCACGCTAAGCTATAGATATGTCGTTCATCTCCTAGCTGACAGGGCGGTGAAAGCTACCTGCTGGTTGAACCAACCAACCGTCAGTCTTGCACCAAGTGATCGAGCTTTATGCGTATACTCTCGCGCATAAAGAGGGTCTGGCGATGGAAGGCAGGCGACTGGTTGGTCTAGCGAGCACGTAGTACCTTCGACGGTCCCGTCAGCTTAACGGTGAAATGAGTGTAATCGTGTGAAAGAGGGACTAAATTGCCATTTACTAGAGTATGCGTGTATATAAAGTCTCCATTTATTGAAATATATTCAGTAAGGCACGTAAAGCTGATTTAGAAAGAACAAAAAAAAAAGTGAAGTGAACGTTTAACAGGAGCGGCACGAAACTAAGCCGAAGCGCTGCAGCAGTGGGCGACAAAATTCCTCTACCGCGATCCTGTATAGTTCCTGTATAGTTCCTGTATAGTTCCTGTATAGTTCCTGTATGGGCTCCCTACGAGAGCCTATACAGGGACTCTAGATCCTACTACCTCAAAACGCCACCTGCCTGACCGTACCCTGGCATTAGATCGCCGGAAGTTTCTCCACCCTCGCTATTGAACCACTGGAAATCGATAAACGTTTTTTTTTTTTCAACTCAATTTAGAAATGTAATTACCCTTTGTTTGGGTGCTTGAGTTTTCTTAGTTAACTCCAAAATTACAGCCTTATCAAAGCGGGTGTTATAAATTATTTAACTCTATCTTAAGCACGACGCAAAGATAAAACCAAACCTTTAAAAACCTTTTCGATTTTTGGTTCCAGTCATCTTTCTATGATATTAAAGGGCAAATGCAACCATTTTTACACTTTGAAAAAATACAGCTTATAATTATTGCTCGACATTTATAACCTTTGAAACACACGTTGCTTCTTTTTTTTTCCTTCGCGCAATGGGAGCCGCAGAAAAAAATTCGAGAAGAATGAACACTTTACCCCTCGACTCGCGGCCAGAAAAAGTGACCACGTGATCTGGAGCCGATAATATGCCGCCGATGGTTTTAACATAGCCACGCGTTGGGGTTGGCAGAGCAAAAGCCACTATACTCCGTTTCACCTAGTTTCACCTTATGTTGTACCGCTGCGAAGGCTAGAAGCGCGAGCTCACTGCGTTGGCAGCTGCCCTTGGTGCACGAGAGCTTGTGCCGCCGAGGTGTGGCATAGAGCAAGGAGCTCGCGCTTGCAGCCTTTCCTGGGGTACAGCACAAGGTGAAACAGAGTATAGACGCTTTGCAGCAGCTGTGCATGGACGCCGCCATAACTGACCTTCAGTTTTTGTTTCCTCTTATTTCGTTTATTTCACTTCATCATTACCATAGGAGGCCAGGTTATTGCCATATTAGATTCAGCTGTGTCCTTTTCTAAAGCATCGGCCTTTGTAGAGGATCGTCAACTACCGTTTCAGTTGCTCGGCATCTCGGTAAGACAAGAGAAGGTCAGTAATGGTGGCTGTAATTTTGCGCGTGTGCAAAGCGTCTATAGACCTTTCCAATGTTTACAAATCAAAATCCACAGCTCAGCGTGCGATCTCCACAGCTCAGCACGCGCGTGTGCGTCGCTTCGGAAAGCGAGCAAATCACGCGCGTTACGCACGAACACTGAAAATGAAACCGGCCAGCAGCCCTTTTCTGGAAAGGTCTATACCCGAATGCATGTCGAGGCATTGATTGTCACGAGCCAAAATCGAATGCATACGCAGTCTTCGTGTGCACCGCATGAGCCGCATTTAAATATCGCCAAAGCGGAGATCGTAAAGCTTGATGACGCACTTCCGGGCATCGCATTGTTGGCATTGTACCCACAGCTTCGTCATCGAGTTTTGCGAAGGAGGGACTGAAAGAAAAGGTCCGCTTTTCTCCTCGGAATTCCACCGTGACGAAGACGCTTCTTGTTCTGTGGCGTTGTGTTCGGGTATTCTTTAAAGCCCCTCTATCCTGGGAAAAGTGGCCCCATTCATTGTTGTAGAAATGCTCGTGGGTCGAGGCACGTGCCGCGCGCCACTTCTGGGAAGAACATGGCGTCGGAAATCTAGCTCAGAGCTGCGCTGTGCCGCCATGATCTTCACAAGGGCTGCACGTTGCACCTGCCTCGTGCATCGACGCACCTTGCGCTACCTTTGATACATGAAGTGGCTTCAGTATTCTTGGTTCCCACACCTTATGATGTACCGCAGGAAAGGCTACAAGCGCGAGCACCTTGCTCTGGGGCAGATCTCGGCGGCACAAGCTCTCGTGCACCAAGGGCAGCTGCCAACGCTATGAGCTCGCGCTTTTAGCCTTCGCTGCGGTACAACATAAGGTGAAACGAAGTATAGTGCCGGTAAGCTGGTGTAAAGTGCATGAGAAACGTTCCTACCCAATATTGTTGCAGATTCCACATCGGTGCAATTGTCTTCCCCAGCTCATGAAAAAAGCATTTGGCGAAGATTTATATAGTTATGTTTTTACCGCCAAAAGAAAAAAAAAGAACAAAAAAACAAACAAAAAAAACAACAACATAGTTGGAAAGCAATAGAGAAATAAGCCAGTAACGAATATCCATAGCTCACCTGCTCAGCCAGAAGTAGCCGGCCAGACCGAAGGCGAACACCGGGGCCTGCGCGACCAGACAGTGCGAGCAGAGGCTGTAGACGACGGCGTGTTTTCAGGGTTTAGTTTTAGCGAATTTCCGAAACGGCTAATTACTATATACGAACGAAGCGCAGAACACTTAGCGCGTAGGGGACACGACCGCGTTTTCGCATTTCGCTCATACGTGCAGATGTCTAACGAGAAACGTCACCGTCTACATCTGTGCGCCATCTTTTATAAATTGCACTACACTGTCACCATATTCTCTTTGCGTCTACTTTCCTGCAAAACGCACATTCAGTCAATCATCGCGTCCTGCTTAAAAAGAAAAGCCGCGAATAACAAGACAGAGAACACGATTTTCTGTAAAAATGCAATCTTAAAAAATAGTTTTTTTTTCTTTTTTTTTTTGCGTGAAGACGTTATTTTATTTTTTTTTTATTTTTAAACCGCAGCCATTTTTTTTTTTTTTTTTTTGCCTAATTCGCTTTCAGCGCGCTCCGCGGAAAAGCAGGCCCAGAGGGTTTTGTTTATAAGAAGTCCAGTTTTTACTTAAAGGGGCCATGAAACGAATTTTGGGTTGGGATGAATGATTTTAAATTGGGACTTTACTAATCGCATATCGTTTAGTTGGCCAAAAGAAAGAGGCTAGAAAGTCAAAAGCCAGCTTTTCGGTACGAACATTTGAAAATGTAGCGGACTATTTTGCACCTTCTTGCCTTCGAAAGCTCTCCGCCTTTTCACTATGATACATCAGCGGCTCCAAAAGCGCGTCACCGGCGCCAAACTGACGTCAGCAGAGCCCAGCTCACGCATTGGACACGAGAACTGCGTCACTCGGACGTATGCGCTCGTCAACAATCAATCCGTCGACGAATATTTGGATTCGCGTTCGTGGCCAATGAGTGCCCTGACGGAACTTATCATCACTGGGGAATGACAAGTTCTATGGTGTGCATAAAAAGCGCGGTGGAAGCTAGGAGTCATCGCACCAGCGCCGAAGGAATCTCACGACCATGTGATTTCGCAATTCGCAATTGAGTTAAGGATTAAAGCTAAGGAGGAAGAAGTAGAAAAATCGTTTCATGACCCCTTTAAACGAACACGGTAATTATCAAAATTATTTTCAATTACAAAAAAAAAATTGGCGATTTTTTTTTTGTTTGTAGTAATTAATGGTGTCGCGCTCTGCGCGTTCTCTCAGGTAAAACTCGGTCGGTTACGTACGTGTAATTTGTAATTTTGGTTTACGAATAGCAAGCATGGACAGCTTGAGACACAAGAGACCTTGCTTATCTCATGTTCCGTACTTTGTGATTTGTTCTGCGTAGGGTGACATAATCATCACAGTAATTAACGAGTCATCAAGTTGGGGTAAAGGGGGGGGGGGGGGTAGGATTATTGTTCAACGTATAAACACACGTTTTTCTGGAGTTATTCGTTGAGAACGCAAGTGCCTTTCTTTCTTATCTTAAGACGGGAAGAAAACGTTCCCAACGCGAGCGTGCCAAAATCGGTGCGTCAATGCGAACGAAATGCGCAAGCATTATATGTAACCACAGAACGAGCTTGAAGAATTTACTCCATAAAAGATAACGTCTTATCGCCATATATATGTATATTTCTTCTTTTCTTTTGTTTATAAAATAACGTGTGGAGCAACTAGCAAATAAACATTCCATCGGCTTTCTTCCATCCGCTTAATACATGATTTTGCGGTATACGTAAACGGGACATGAGGCTTTTTGTAGACAAAATGACGCGACTGCCAAAATAAACCTGTCCCGGTCAAAACGGATAGAACTCAAACTTTGACATCTGGTCAGGACCGCTAGAGTGTATACATTTGGGCGAATAATGAGCGTTTGGCAATAAGTAGTTTATTTTTGTGGTTAAAAAAACAACAACAACAAAGAGACATAAAACAGTAAATTTATTTTTGGGACACGCTGTAATGCCAATCAAAATAGTCAAATCTCGATTTAATTCGATGCGGTCGCATCCATTCAAACGCAGCCTATAACGCATTACCCTTTCGTTACCGATAAAAGCATAGGTTTGTTAAAGTGAGGAAATTAAAAAGAATGAAATATATATATGATCCTCAATCGGCACCGCCTGGGTGTTGGCACAGCCGATATTAAAGCCAATTCGATATAAATGAATTGGATCCTTGGATCAAGCGGGAATTTCACCAAAAAGCCAATTGGGAACTGTACTTAAAAAAAAAAAAAAAGGGACACACCAAAAAACAGTTTAGGAAAGACCGACAGGGAGAAAGGACCCTGCAGAGCCCGACATCAGCCCAACCCCGCAAAGGATCACAAAAGGGCGACACCAGATGGGCGAAGGGCAACAAAGTGAGCCCAACGACCCCCGCCGCAGTGATATTTGCTTTTCCCCTCCTCCCAAGGAGGAACCCCAATGAAAGGGTCCTCCCCCCCTCCCCCTCGGTAGAGGGGTATAAAAATATACAGTCGCAACTCATGGCCGCGAGAAAGGAAAATGGAGAGCGAGCGTACCTGAGCGCGCGAGAGACTGCGACCGATGCGCCATTTCTGGCCAAGAGTCGACACGCCAACTTCGGCACCCTGTGTCAAAGGAAGCGAATTCGTGAACTTGACGGATAATACATTTCTGACCTAAGCTTGGCAGTCGTGAGTTGTCAAACACGGAAGACTCTCCCGATGTTCTCGTGGAATGGCGAATGATTGCGTCTGCACGGAGACTGAGATGATGGTGAGCCACTGGTATGCAGGTCATAGCACCTTTGCTGGGCCTTAAGAAGCGTAAAACCTTTACCGTTTCAAAAAATATATTTGATAAAAGCACATAATTTTAACTACGTTTGTAACGATCATATATTGTGCAAGTGAGGTTTCTATAAGCAGCCTATAGATATGTAAAAACCAACCAGTACTAGCGTTACAAAAAAAAAAAAAAAGAAAAAAAAAACTGCACATATAACAGTCAACTGAACTCCATTATTTAAACCTTAATCAACAGGGGGTGATGTCGCTCTTCCGTGTCACCGTCATTTATGCTGATTCTTTAAAAACTTCAAAAGGGGACAGATGATCAAGAAAGCCCTACACGTATCAATTCATAAATCACGTTAACTTTCACTTCAACTTAGTCTATTTCAAATGAAACGCTATGTAAAACCCTGAGCTTGCGCCCACGGATTCGGCCGCGTCCTTCCTGAAGAAACGGCATATTTTTCATTGCACACATGGGAGCCGGAACGTAGGATATCAAAAATACGATGGAAACAGCTCTGCTTTGTGTCTACGAGCACTGGCGCGAGGACGCACCTTAGGGAGCTTCGCACTCATGTTTGTGGATAACTTTGCACAGAAGCCTTCGACAAAACTACGTGTATGGGCTCTGCGACGGTAAGAGATCTGCGATGAGGTCTGGGCATGACGAATCACAATGCTGAGCATGAGTATCGAACGTCGCTTACCAGCCTCAGCATGGACAGCAGCAAGGAACGGACACTGGCAGGAAGTTGGAAAGAGCTCGAATTAACCAGCGTGCAACGAAGACAGACTATTTCCACTGACAGGATGAGAAACCACAGGGCCTCTCCATCGGATCACCGGCATCCAGCACGCGCTCATGGCCTTCCGTCGTGCTTCGGCTACGAAAACGTTATGGAACTCGCGCATGGAGGACGGACAACCGAAAGAACGCCCTGATGTTCTTATATCCTGTCAGTGACAATCGGCCACTTCTGCCAAATCGAAGGGGCAGCTGTGGCGGCAGGTTGGCTCGCTAGCCTTTTTGAATGAATCAGCTACTGTCGAGACCGGTTATAACGAAGTCAACGGGAATCGGAAGTCCCTTCGCCATATCCGCTATTTCGTTATAACCAAGTTCGGTTATAACGAAGTGCACAAGGAAATGGGAAATCGTGATCGCTTCGCTGTAACCACTCTTTCGTTATAACCGACTTTGTTATAGCCGGTCTCGACAGTATTCACAGTCTAAAGACGAAGCCGTGAAACTAGGCTCGAAAAGACGCGAAGAAAATAGTCAACAGGAAGCTACAGCTCAGAGGCTGGAGAGGTTAAAGACCTCCCCGCCGTTTTCATTCTGTCCGTGACTATTGGCAATATGCACGACCAAAAGCGTCGCTGCGGTCGGTTTTCCGTGATTGGCCAAACGCTGACTATTTCGTCTTAGCCATCTTTGACGGTGTTGGCTTAGGGATGCGGTGACTCTGAGCTTCTTCCGTGCCTTTTACACCATCGAACACGTTTGTCACAGCTGAAGAAAAGTTGCCGGTATCACAGCTTGTGACGTCACGACGAGGCAAAACCAAGGTCATGACGTCAGGGAGAGGAACCGTTAGAGGGCGACACGGAAACTCCTCGGCGCTAATTTTATGGTGACAAGATTTACAAGCCCTACAGTGTAGAGGCTGGGTGACCCCCCAGGCAAGAACTACAACGAACAAAGCAGGTCGCTGACTCGCTGCTCGATTACGTCAGGTCAGCGAACATGACACCCCCCCCCCCCCCCCCCCTCCCTCAACGCATCTCATCACACCACCCCATCCAGCCTTCCGTCTCCCATCCCCATCAGATATAAATTACTTTAGTCGATCTATCTTGGTTTTTTTCCTTTCCTCCGAATAAACGTATAATGGAAAGCGCCTCCAAAGGGTGTGCTTACCGTCTTCTAAAAAGTGGCCCTTTAATTTCCACCCGATGACGTCATTGAAGTGTCATATCGTGATATGGCGATATCACAACAGCGCTGATGGTTTGTGGTAGGCGCCTGTTCGACTGCAAGTCGCTCTCCACTTCACAGTATAGGAAGCTTCAGTAGCCAGGAGTTGGGGCTTCTGGCAACTGAAGGCTTCCTACCGAATCTTCTTGAACGTGACGACAGCTTACTCGTACTCTTTGGCCAGGTCCCCAACTGTGACGTGATTTGTTGCCGCTTCGAGAGCACTTGTGATGTATGGGCAGGGCGAGATGCCAAACACACTATAGCCGAAGACGCGTTTCAGGCAACGCATACTGTAATACTACAATGTCTGGAGCGCGTCCTATCCCACTCATGCATGGAAGTGGACCCGAACCAGGGGCGTACCAACTTGTTCTTGAGTGTGTGTGTGTGTGTGGGGGGGGGGGGGGGGTAGAGCAAACCAGACCCCCCCCCTCCCCCCCCAGGGCCGGGGGTCGGTGTCCTTAGTATCCCATGGGCACCGCCGGCCAGTGTTCGCCCTGCCCAGGGGCGGCTGTTTTAGGGGGGGGGGGGGGGGCAAACACACTCCTTGCCCCCCCACTCTAAGAACTGGGGGGGGGGGGGCAGGCGCCCCCCTTGCCCCTCCCGGTTGGTAGCCCATGTCTCGAAGTGACAACAAGTGACGACACAAAAGCAGGAGTGACGTGCTGGTGTATGTCGCGATCCTGGCGGTTGGCCATAAAAGTTCCAAAAAAAAAACACGAGAAAACACGAGTGTTGTTGCCGTCGCGGCGTCCCAATTCCTGGCCACGAATGCCTCCGTGGACTCAGTCAAACTGGGAAGGATCATTCTATGCCAAAGAAGACGCGGTAATTTTTTCATGTCTGGGATGTGTACGAAAATTTTAATTTGGAAAAAGAAACCACTGAAATAAAAAAAAATAGCTGATATCATATATATAGCTTTAAGCTTCTGGAATTTGCATAAAACCCATGTAGTTAAGAAAAAACATTATGAAAAAACGGTTGGGTACCACACAAATTTAGGTCAGCGCCAAATTACATATCACGTGCCCTATCTTACAGTAAAATACAAACATTGAAAGACGTCATTTCAAGTCCAAACAGGAGCTAAAAAAAAACTTTTTGAGAGTTTTTTATTTATTTTTTGTCAACTGGGGGTTGGGTGTTAGCTATAATAGTTCCTTCGTTTGTTCTCATAAAACTAATAATTGCATTGCACGCGTTATATATTTAAAGTCTGGTTTTGTTGCGTTTTAATTAAATGACAAATTCTCCAGTTTATGCAGAAATTGCCGTATTGAGAGCCAGAAAAACCAATGTGGGCATCAGCGCCCACCAACTTTCGAAATAGCCAAAAGTTCGATTCACCTCATCTCTTCAAAATACAGTATATAAAAAATTTAGAAAAATACTTTTTGCTGTTGTTGAGAAATTATTGTTTTTAAAGAAGAGCCTCTTTGACCATGCTTCCAGGCGCCCGCTTCGTAGGCGACGCACGCTGACGTTCGCCAGCTAGGCGGCAACGATGTGAGACGCCGCCGCATGGTCTTCAACACTCTCTTGAAAACAAGCTTCATTCAGCTAAAGAGGACGTCATCCTGACTTCCATGCGTCCGTATCCTCTTTTACGTTACGTAATGATGCTGGCTTCTTGATTTTACTCGATTCTGTTCAGGTAACTGCCGACGAACGCATGGCCTGCATCGTCTGCTTCCACAGTTTGGAAATGCGTACTGCGCGTCGGCCTTGTCTGTCGTATGGCCAGATAAAAAAAAAAAAAAAAGCAATTCAGACCGGATGGGTCTTTACCGATGCAAAATGATAACAGTGATGTCGCCTTCCCCATTGAACCTTAATATTTTTTGGTAGAACTAAGACCTATTGAAGTTCGTTGGCACATCCCAAGGACACGCTGCCGAGATAGTGGCGACGTCATGCAAACGACTGCGTCACTCTTCTAAGCGTCCATAGGGAGTTTTCGTAGATGGTTTTCGCCGTCCCGCAACGCTTTTCGCAACCCACTACGATACCCGGAACTCTACAGTCAAGGCCATCGACGCGCAGGCTTAGTAGCGGCTTTTTCGTTGCGGAGGGCTTAACGGAGGGGGAAACGCGATCTACGAAAACTCCCTAATGTGGCAATCTTTTTGCGCGCAATATTGAAATCGGGAGTGAAAACGCGAGAACTGATCGATGAATATCGAAGAAATTAATACTATTTCGCAAATTTTGTAAATTGGTCAAATGTTTGATAGCAGTTGGCGTCAGTACTGGGATTGCAACATGTCGCGAAACCATTATTTAAAAAGTTAATAAACAATTTGTTTAATAAGCCGACTTACCATGGCGGAATTCTTACCTCATTTAATGCCTGCCGAGCCTGACACTCAGATGGCGAAGACGGCACTTGTGTAACTTCCACATTTTATCAAACACACTTCCTCTATAAATACTAGTGGGTTCAAAATTCTAGACATCTTTTGTTGGCCTCTACTCCGTGCGACGCGACCGGCGCGCCGCCGCGCGGCCGTTACCGAAGGTAGGCAGTGAGAGCCCCAGCGAAACGAAACCACGCCGCGCACATTGGTACGCATTAAGTCGGAGCGATGCGGTTGCGCTAGGTTCACAGCATGAACTGCTGCGTCGTTAAGTGCTCCAATAGTTATGCGTCGTATCTCGTGGGGCCGAAGTTTCACAGTTTTTCACCTCGCCGATGTTTTGTGGGACAGCGACAACGATGGAGCCGTGCCGTACGACGCGAGAAATTTGGTCTCCCGATTATGTCTGCCACTGTGTCGGCACGGCTGACATGTTCTACACTGCCACTTTGCGCTCTGCGTTTGTTTTCGTAACAGTAACG